CCTCAGCAGCCAGCAGCTGTCTGAGTGAAGAAAAGCCTCAAGCTTCAGTTGGCCAGGAGCAGGAGGCAGAGCTGAAGCCCAAGGTTGAGGGGCTTTCACTTAGCCCCTAGAGCCTGGCACTTGAACTTGGACTTAAAGCCTCCAAGCTGTAAGAGAATAAACTCTTGTTTGTTCAAGTCATCCCATTTGTGGTATATTTCTGTCGGAGTGGCACTAGGTAACTAGAACAGAATATGGTACCAAGAGAGTGGGGTGCTGCTCTGACAGATACCTAAAATGTGGAAACAGTAGTGGAGTGTGCCCTTGACCCAAGACTCTGGCAGAGAGACTCTGGCATGCGCCATGAGAGATGGCAGCAGCAGAGCTAAGAGACCAGCATGAGAGATGGCAGGAGCAGAGCCAAGAGACCTGGCATGAGACAGCAACAGCCTTACCAGCCCATGGAGGAGAGAGCTGGATACCATTGAGTAGGCAGCTTCCAGGTGGAGTGGGTTGCCTTCAGGCATTAATTGGTAGAAGAGACTGCCATGAAATAGAGTAGCAGTTTGGCTGGCCCACAGAGCAAGAAAGCTGAGTGCTTTTTGGGCAAGAAGATTTCCAGCAGAGTGGGTTGCCTTCAGCATTAACTGGCAGAAACGAAGAGACCAAGGAAACAGAAAGCAGAGCTGCCTCAGCCTCAAAGGGTAGGACCATGGCCTCTGAGGGTGGAACCACCACAGCCCTCTAGGTTTCAAAGAGTTAGACCTTCACCAACTTGGTTCTGGAGTGTGGGCCTGCTCATTTATGTGGGCCAGTGTGATGGAGCCATAGTCGCTGCCTAAGAGTGAGGGGGCAGGGCTACCATGCCCAAGAGGTAGAGGAATTGGTTCACCAGGCAAAGTGGGTGAGGTCGCCACTCAGGAACTAGGGGATTAGAGTCACCCAGTGGAGGAGATCTGTATATATACCACCCATTGAAGATCTGTACAGGTGCCAAGTTGACAAGGGGTGGAATTGTGGTAGTTAAGGTTGTGTGTCAACTTGGCTGGGCCTGGTCGAGTGGCTAGGCAACTGGATGTAGTATTCCCTGTGATGAAACAGGTAATCAACTCTACAGTGGAATATACTGTGAGCAGCTGAGTAGATGCCTTTGGGTATATGGCCTACTTCCCATATATAATAAATGGCTTTGGGAATGGTCTCTAGCTTATGGCATACTTGAACCCTGCATGTAGCCATGTCATTGTTCAACAGCCTTCCATGCTCTCCTGACCTCGGGACTTTCAATGGACTTGAATTAATGGCCTGCCATGTGGTTTGGTAACATCAAGACTGTGCCTTATTTGTCAACCTGGGGTTTGTTAACCTCAGCAGCCAGCAGCTCTAAAATACACCTGAAGAAAAGCCTCAAACTTCAGTAGGCTGGGAGCAGGAGGCAGAGCTGAAGCCCAAGGTTGAGAGGCTTTCGCCCAGCCCTGAGATCCTGGCACTTTGAAGTTGGACTTAAAGCCTCCAGGCTGTAAAAGAATAAACTCCTGTTTGTTCAAGCATCCCATTTGTGGTATATTCTTATCAGAGCAGCACTAGGTCACCAAAACAAGCTATAAGAAATTGTTTTCCTCCCCCAAATTCTCCACCAACTTGAAAGTGAACACTTTGGCAAAGAAAGGAAAAAAGCATCCCGGCAGCATGCTGGGAGGTTTGGGATGTCTTAAGAAAAAAAAAAAAAAAAAATTGAATGAATCAAGATGAAGAAAACATCTTGATCCGAAGCCAACATTCATCACTCCCTCTCTTTTCCCCAATGTCCTCAGTCTATATTAGAGTCCCATTGAAGCTCTCTCTTCATCACAAAGATGCATTTGGTATAGAATAAAGAAAAGAAAAAAGGTGGATGGAGAAGGTTGCAGCCCAAATCTCACCCACCTTATGGGACAAACCTCTTCCCTTGACAGTGGAATGCATGGGCTGTGTCGTGATGGCCATACCCCCCACATTGTTGAATGCAGCCACCTGTTTGGTGGGCACTTCTATTGTGGTCCTAGGTCTGAGCTCTGCTTGCCCATACTATCTCAGAACTGCATGTAGACCCTGGTCAAACCAGTCAGGTATTATCAGCAAACTACCAGACACAAGGTCCCATTGACGCCCGACTCCACTCAGAACCTTGTGTAGTACAACGCAGACCAGAAGATCTTGCTCTCTCCAGCATTCCTGCCCAAGAAATATTTGATTCTGGGAAGCCCAGGTTCTCTGAGATCATACTGAAACCATAGTCCGTGAATAGGAAAACTCTCAAAGTCTTCATCTCTGATGATGGGAAATTGACAAATAGTGGGCTATAAGCAGAAAGAGCAACAGAGCTCCCAAGATGCCCAAATGCTCCTAAATACGTACATTTTCTTTTAGATCTTAGAAAAAAAGTCAGTTAAGGTCACCCGGAAGCAGTTTTAGTCAAATAATTATTAGGTGATACAGCATTATCTTAAGAAAAGCATCTGCCACAAAATATTCATTTTAAAATGATGTGTTGCTGTCACGGGCCACTGCTGCAATAGATACCTTGTTCTCTTTTGCAAAGGAGCATGTTTTGGTACAGTGTGAGGCTGATATCAACTCGATACATATGGTCCATCGTTTGAGAGATGTTTTGACCTTAAAGATGTTCTTTGGTTAAATTGTATGATGTCAAGAGATTATGTTTTTACTGAAAAAGAACATTTAGTGCTAGATTAAATATATAATTCTATTAATGTGACCTTCTGGTTTCCTAACTAGAAAAAGAAGATCTGTTGGTTTCACTATAAATCCATTACCAATGCTTCTCTAAGAGAGCCCTTTTGAGTCTTGGGGACACAGGCTACCTAGATGTTGCTAGGTAATCCTTTCAGTGGAATTTCATTTTTGACAACTTCTAATTATGGTGGGAGATGGAGCGGTATTGAAATTTAAATGTTTCTGAGATACATAACTAGCAAAACAAAAACATAAAATCATTGAGAATCTTCAGCAGAACCCAGTAATATATTATGTTTTAAAATAATAGTAAACATGAATTTAGACTTATTTAGGGTGACAAAGTAAATTGCAGCATAGCAGTTAAAGGACATTGTCATGAAGTTGGTGACATAAAATATATCTTTAAGGAAGGAACTCTCAAAAATTACTCTCTGGGTGAAACCCTGAGCAGAGAACCCAGCCAGACTCAGTCTGAACTTCTGACCTACTGAACTCTGAGATGATAAGTGAGTGTTGTTTTAAGCCTCTAAGTTTGTGGTAATTTGCTACACAGCAATAGAAAAGAGTATGTATTACTTAAAATATATTTTTAACTTATGCAAATAAGTACATCCTCCTTGTAATAAATGAAAACATTGCTGAGGAAAAAAAAAAAAAGTGCTCTTCAGACCATCCAAATCCATCAAAACATAAAAAGGTACGTTAGAAAAAGCTATAATTGAACATAGGACTTTCTTAAAATTGGGTTGTTTGTGTCAATTGAGCAACACAATAGTTTTCAACAGAAGAAATAATAAAGTTTAGAAAGCACATCAAAAATGTTGTGTTGTTGTTATGTGCCATCGAGTCAGACCCAACTCATAGTGACCCCTCCTTGGGTTTCTGAGGCAGTATCACTACAGAAGTGGATTGTCCAACCTTCCTTCCAAAGAGTGGCTGGTGGGTTTGAACCACCAGCTTTTTGGTTAGCAGTCAAGTGCCTTAGGCACTGCACTACCAGAGCTCCACATCAAAAATAGCATATAATAAATATATATGTGTTAGAAAAAATCCAGAGTGAAGGCATAATCTGAGCTGGGTATGAATATATTGAATTCCTTTAAAAGTAATAAAGTCCATTCACTGCTACAATATTTAATTTTAAGAAAAACATTTCTAAAGCAAGTTCATGACTTTGTTTTAGGGGAAAATTAAGCAAGTACATGCATTTGATGAGCAATTCACATCATTCTCCAGAGGAAAAAAAAAGAGAGAGAGAGAGAATTTCAGTCAGGAATTTAGAGCATTTTAAATACAACAAAATACTTTACAATATGATACAGTGACAAGATATCAATCATGTTTATAAAAATTGTATTCATTTGCTTTGGATATTAGACTATTTAGCATTATTTAGTTACAAGTTAATCGAAGTTAAGTTTCTTATGATTATAATACAATATAAAGCAAATACAGATATTTTATTTCTTCTTAGGTGAAAAAATTACAAAAAAGATGCTCAAGACAATTTATGTACTGATTTGTAGTAAAGGTTTTCAATTCTAAATTCCTTTGTTATTTAACATATTAGGGCAGGGATCAGCACACTCAGGCTGGAGTTGGCTGAACTCTGTTTTAGAGCCACCCCCATTAATGTCTTACAGCCTGACAAGATAGACAAGGCACTTAAGTACGTACTAAATTACTGCTGAAAAAGGCACACAAAATATGTGAAGGCCTTCTCACAGGTTCCTAGATATAAAAGAACTGCCTTCTGGGATATATCAGTACTAGATAGTCAGCAAAGCCAATCTGAGGATGCTGAGTTTGTTGATTTTCTAATTGAAATATGGCGGTTGCTACACCACATGGAAAAATATATGTACTTTAAACAATCAGAGATGATACGATGTTAGAAGTAAATATACCACAATTGGTTTTGTTATTATAGTCATATTTAATTATAATAACTAACACATACACAATGTTTTCCATGAGCCAGGAACTTGTCAAAGCACCTTTAATATATTAACTTATTTAAATATCATGAAAAGAAAAGAAAAAAAAACTAAGAATGGAATACAATTGTTACTCTAACTTTATGGATTTTACCTTTCAAGATATTGCTACTAATTATCTGGTTTGTATTATCTGAAGGATGTGTGTGTGTGTATGACTGGAAATTCACTTCTATTGAAGACCAGGACTATCAGACAATTCTGACCCATTCTTGTTTTTGCTAGCATTCGTCTTTAAAAGATTATTTTTTAAAAAAGGTGAGAGCTAGAAAAAAGTAAATATTTTACCAATTGAATAAGTATGCAATAGATGTTAGAGCTATTATCATCACCCTAGGGCTTGTGCCTTGAGGTCTGATGAAGTATTTAATTCCCCGTCCTTCTCATACCACCTCCCAAACAGAGTTACTGTTAGGACAGGTCCAGATGTTGGTTTCAGGCTAAACAAGCGTCCATCGTTTGACACCTAATTAACACATAGAAAAGTAGACAGGATCTACCTATAAGTTATACAATTCTATAACATATTTTTAAAATTTAGCATAATTGAATGAAGAAGCAGTTTTGAAAGACATAGATCAGAAATATTTGAAATGTTACAGTGTACAGAAAATACTAGAACCATTGAATTGACACTGACTCATTTGTTATTGAAATACTTGTAATGAATATTTTATAACTTAGTTATCTAAGGAAGCCTCTCATGAGTTAATAAGCATAAAGCAATGGATTCAGGAATATATAAGAGGGAAATCTAGTTCTATCAGATAAGATAAAACCTCTCCCAGCAAAAAATCAGGAGGGAAGTTTGAACTGAGAACCCATGATGCCTGCTGTCCACTCACCACCCCCTTTTAACTTGCCCACTCACTCCTTTCGCACCCCTACCCTCTTGCAGTTATTTCTACCAGGAAGTAAGAGTGAAAACAAAACCTGCAGGAAAAGTTGCTGGAAGAGGATGGCTGGGCAGAGTGCTTGTGCAACAAGGAATTATTTCTGGACTGTAAAATAAATAGCTTTTACTTCCTTGCCAACACCAGCCACCGTCAGATTCCTTCTCCCTCAGTTTTGCTTCTCTCATTTTTTGCTTACGGCCATGGTTGCACCAGGCCTTGACCCACGCAATTAGAGGGATTCCTTTCCCTTTTTAGGCCGTCTTCTCAGTAATCCCAAGAGGCTTTCTGTGATGGGCCTACCACTGAAACTACTCTTCATAAGTCTCCTTCCTATTTGATAGACCTTGAATAGCGCAGCCTCATCCCATATTCCCCTAAATAAATATATTTCTTTATTTTCAAGGACACATTATCTTAAGAATTAAAGATTTCCAGGCAGGAAATTCAGTCTGCTCAGTGTCCTTGGTGATCCCCAAGGCCAATTTTACCCTTTCCAAATGGAAGTTTTTACATATTTTTAAGCACTTGGGCAGGTTTTGATCTCAAAAAGTGCATCCTCTAAGGTGAAAGTATATTAAGCATAGATTCTTACCTGAAATTCTGCAGGTGCAAGCTGAACTTCACTGAGCAACACCTCAGGAAAGACATATTGTGTTCCAAAAGTGCCACTGAGAGAGAACATTTCAAACCTGGTGGAAGCTGTCTCAACTGAGTCACCACAAGTTTCTAAGTCAGTTGTCTCACACTTCAACATAGTACAAACCTAGAGGAAGCAAATGCAAAACAATGTGTCATAACAAAGCCAACTGGCACACTGTCATGACTTACAGAAATGCTTATGCCCCTTCTTTAGTAAAATAATGTTACTTCCTCATAGATTAATCTAATTCATTGGTGAATAGCTAATGCAACTAGTAATAAAAATAAAGGACTTCAGACTCCAGTACTTCCTGCAATTCACTGACAAACAAACTAACCACATAAAAATAATCATATTTTTGGCCTATATCCACGAAAAGTACACCCTCACTGTTCACAAGTTAACAATGATTTTACTTGTTAGAACATTCATTTAAAAAAAAAAAAAGCTTTTTAACTTAAATATTAGTTCAATCTCTACCCTATTGCCAATGGCATATAATGAGGGAATTTTAGATATGGAAGGCACCTTAAGGATGATCTAGAAGCATTCCCTGTGATCCAGAAAATTAATATACTTTATATCTGAGCAAGGATTGAAATAGTTCCCAGTTGAATTCTTCTTCTGTTGTGAGGAAAAAAAAAAAAAAAATTCACTGCTGTCTAGTCAGAACCAACTCATAGCAACCCCTCCTTGAGTTTCTGAGGTGGTATCTCTACAATATCTACAGAAATAAATTGCACAACCTTCCTTCTAAGGAGTGGTTAGTGGGTTTGAACCACCAGCCTTCCAGTTAGCAGTCAAATGCCTTAGGCAATTTGTCACCAGAGTTCCTACTTCCACTGTACTACATAGCTATTTGAATGTAAAATCCACATACATGAGTCATCACACCATGTGAATACAAGGACCCACAAAGGATGATCCATGTCCATTTAACTCCATCTGTACAATATCTCCCATTTCAAAGCTATTCCAAGCCATCTTCATCTCTTGCCAGGGTGCAGCAATAGCTTCAAACTGGTCTTCAAGTTTCTACTCTTGCAGGTGAAGGGCAATCACTCCAAGGCAAGTGAGTGAAAAGACAGAACTAACTTTCCAGGTGTAGAAGAACACATATTTCTATTTTGTTTCTTTTATACCTACCAAAACCACAATAATTTTTCAAAAGATACAAAGTTAGGAGGATGAGGAAAACAAAAGGATTGACCACAGCAACAATTTCACAAGCTAGTGTGTGATTTAGCAGAAGTGGTAAGTGATTTAACAGGCCTATGAAAGCCAAAACAAGTCCAGGAGAGCCAAAATATGACCTTGAATGTATCCCTCTTGAATTTAGAGACCACCTAAAGAATATATTTGATGCATTGAACACCAGTGACCAAAAAGCAGAAGAAATGTGGGATGACATCAAAAGCATCATCCATGAAGAAAGCAAGATGTCATGAAAAAGACCAGAAAGAAAGAAAAGACCAAAAATGGATGTCAGAAGAGACTCTGAAACTTGCCCTTGAGTGGGGAGTAGCTAAAATCAAATGGAAGAAATGGCAAGATAAAAGAGCTGAACACAAGATTTCAAAGAGCAGTTTGAGCAGACAAAGCCAATTACTATAATTAAGTGTGCAAAGACCTGGAGTTAGAAAACCAAAAGAGAAGAACACACTCAGTATTTCTCGAGCTGAAAGAACTGAATAAAAAATATAAGCCTCGAGTGGCAATACTGAAAGGTTCTATGGGCAAAATATTGAATGACGCAGGAAGCATCAAGAGAAGATGGAAGGAATACACAAAGTCACTGTACCAAAAAGAACTGGTCAATCTTCATCCATTTCAGAAGGTGGCATATGTTCAAGAACTAATAGTATTAAAGGAAGAAGTTGAAGCTGCACTGGAAGAATTGGCAAAGAACAAGGCTCCAGGAATTGACGGAATACCCACTGAAATGTTTCAACAAACGGATGCTCCGCTGGAGGCACTCACTCGGTTATGCCAAGAGATTTGGCAGGCAGCCACCTGGCTAACTAACTGGAAGAGATCCATATTTGTACCTATTCCAAAGAAAGATCATCCCACAGAATGTGGAAATTATCGAACAATATCATATCATATGCAAGTGAAATCTTACTGAAGATAATTCAAAAACAGTTGCAGCAGTATATTGACAGAGAATTTCCAGAAATACAAGCTGGTTTCAGAAGAGGACATGGAATGAGGGATATCATTGCTGATGTCAGATGAATCTTGGTTCAAAGCAAAGAATACCAGAAAGATGATTACTTATGTTTTATTGACCATGCAAAAGCATTTGATTGTGTGGATCATAACAAATTGTGGATAACATTGAGAAGAATGGAAATTCCAGAACACTTAATTGCGCTCATAAGAAACCTGTACATAGACCAGGAGGCTGTCATTCAAACAGAAAAAAGGGCACACTGCATGGTTTAATATCAGGAAGGGAGAGCATCAGGATTGTATCCTTTCACCATACTTATTTAATCTGTATGCTGAGCAAATAAACTGAAAAACTGGGCTATGTGAAGAAAAATGTGGCATCAGGAATGGAGGAAGAATCATTAACAACCTGCAATATGCTGATGACACAACTTTGCTTGCTGAAAGTGAGGATGACTTGAGGCATTTACTGATGAAGATTGAAGAATATAGTAGACAATATAGATTACATCTCAATATAAAGAAAACAAAAATCCTCACAACTGGACCTATAAGCAGCATTACGATAAATGGAGAGAAGATTGAAATTGTCAAAGACTTCACATTGCTTGGTTCTACAATAGACATCAATGGAAGCAGCAGTCAGGACATCAGAGGATGTATAGCACTGGGCAAACTGGCTGCAAAAGACCTCTTTCCAGTGCTGAAGAGCAAAGATGTCTCTTTGAGGACCAAGGTGTGCCTGACACAAGCCATGGTATTTTCAGCCACCTCATATGCATGTGAGAGCTGGACAATGAATAAGGAGGACCGAAGAAGAGTTGATGCTTTTGAGCTGTGGTGTTGGCAAAGAATGCTGAAAGTACCGTGGGACTGCTAAAAGAACTCAACAGGTCTGTCCTGGAGGAAGTGAAGCCTTCATCCTTGGAGGCAAGAATGGCCAGACTCTGTCTCACATACTTTGGTCATGTTGTCAGAAGGGACCATTCCTTGGAGAAGGATGTTATGCTTGGTAAGATGGAGGGTCGATGAAAGAGGGGAAGGCCCTCAATGAGACGGATTGACACAGTGGCAGCAGCAATGGGCTCAAGTATAACAAGAATCATGGAGCTGGCTCAGGACTGGGCAGTGTTTCGTTCTGCTGTACATAGGGTTGCTATGAGTCAGAGACGACTCAATGGCACCTAAAAACAACAACATAAAAGCCAAGTCCTGAATTGGCAATGGGGAAAGTCAAGAATTGATCCATCTACCCTGCAGAATATGCAAAAGATTCTGTTTCTGGAAGCACTAGGAACTGGGGATGAAGTTGGGACATATATAAAGAAAATTGAGAGTTAAGAATTTCTTAGATAATGAGTTATCCCCATGGAAAGAAACTATACCTCCCCTACTCCAGTAAAAGACTGAGCATTTAATTCCTAGAGAGGTAAAGCAGAGGTCTTAGATTGAAATTTGAATTACATCATTTAAGGAGATTAAGTGAATGAATCATACTGAATATCAAGAGCATCTCTCCCACACCCCACTCCTCTCACGTCTGGAAAACCACTTCCATCCTTGGTCCCCTGATTGTTGACAGCTAGCCACTTATCCTTCAGGAATAGGGCTGCTGGATAAAATACAAGACAGAATGTCCAGTTAAATTTAAAGTTCAAATAAACAACATATAATTTTTTAGTTCAAGTATGTCTCCAGTATTGCATGAGACATACCTAAATGAAATTATTCATTATTTTTCTGAACTTGAAATTTAATTGGGCATCCCACATTTTTATTTGCTAAATATAATGATATTAATCAGGGAGGAAGTTAGCATAATCTTCTCTGGTAAACCCGATCATCTCAAGAGGAAATCTTCAAAGATGGTGATCTCAGGAATCCTCCCACAAAAGACTCCACCAGATTATCCTATTGCAAAATTTAAAGTTGGCAAGTACCACTTGGATGCTCAGAACGTTTTATTTGTTTTTGGTACTCTCAGAGGTTACAGGTAACTGAGGAAAGCTTCTAACATGAAAGAGGGAGCAGAACAAGCGGATAATAATGAAAGTTAACATTTACTGAGTTCTTTCTGTGTACCAGACCAAATACTAAACACTTTACATTTATTGATTAAATCAAATTTCCTCAAAACCCTATAAACCAAACCTGCAGCCATCAAGTCGATGCAGACTCATTGTGACTCAGTAAAGACAAAGTAGAACTGACCCATAGAGTTTCCAAGGCTGTCATCTTTATGGCAGCAGACTGCCACATCTCTCTTCGACAAAGCAGCTGGTGGGTTTTAAAGCCAATCTTTTGGTTATCAGCAAGCACTTTAACAACTGTGTCACTCCATGAACTAGCTTTAAAACACAAAAACCAAACCCACTACCATTGAGTCAATTCTGACTCTTAGCAATCCCCATTAGGTTTCCAAGGGAGTAAATCTTTATGGAAGTAGATTGCCTGGTCTTCCTTCCTCAGAGTAGGCGGTGGGTTTAAACCACCAGCCTCCTGGTTAGCAGTCAATTGTCTTAGGCACTGCATCACCAGAGATTCTCCAATTATATGACCTAACTACTTTTCCTTTGAAGCATTTGTACACTGAAATTAAATAGTGATTTTCTCAGTTTTTTGTTTGATGTCTGTCTCCCCACTAGATGTAAACTCCGTGAAGGGCGTAACTGTATCTGTCTTGCTCATCATGATAACTTCAGGCTCTAGCAAATATCTGAAACAAAGCAGACATTAGGTAAATATTTGTTGAAGGAGTCAGTCCACATCTCATACATGAGGAAGGGGCTTGTCTGTGGCCAATGTATGTATGGTGGTTGGCTCCCACACGGTGAAGCAGGAACTAGTCCACATTTTCTGACTCCAGATCCATGTTCTCAATACATTATCTCAAGCCTTTGTTTTTAACTTTTGTTTCTTCAGAGTTTTTATCCATAGTTCTTTATACTGCTGGGGAATAGGTTTTATACTCTGGAAAGCCCAAGAGCTGGTGAGTTGGATGGCTCACCTTGGTGGAAGGATATGGGAAGGAAAAAAGGTGAAGCCAGTCATCTAAAGAGGGAAAAATCCTACCTGCATTGGGATTATTCTTTTATTCACTCCTTTCTTTAAAATAGTAGTAATTCTTTAAAATAGGCTGCTCCTTCTCCTACTCTCCGGCAGCAACTGCTCCATATCTTTACTTTCTTCAATCTCTTTTTCCAGCTCTTCCAGTCAATGTTTTACCACTCCCTACTCTATAAAATACCACACCTCCCTTCTTTCCTGTATTCCTTTAAAATTTTCAAAAAGTATGCGTATTTGCTACAGAGCACTTAGAGAATCTGAGTAGCCAGGTGAGGGGTTTATTTTACATTCAGCACTTAGAGAATCTGAGTAGCCAGGGGAGGGGCTTATTTCACATTCAGCCCCTTTCCGTCCTTTTCTCTCCCTTGTTTGGGAAATGGCATGTGGTGATTACAGAGCTCTTCTAGAGTAATATAGCATTAGAGATGGTCTGTGAAAGATGATAGCACAATACCAAAATCTCTTATCCTCAACTCCCAAGCCCAAAATTCTCTGAAAAGAAAATATTGTTGTAAATCATTTGGCAATGAAACTTAACCTCTACTAACATAAGGCTATAATGTATTCATTTAAGTAATTCAAGTGAATATTCCCAAGTTCTTCAGTAGAAATATTAACATATTTGATTCTGGGTGCTGCCCCAGACTCTGCTGGTATTATCCAGTAAGATACACTATCTTTTCCAAACTGGAAAACTGAACTCCAAAATACTTCTGGCCCCAATGGTTTTCATAAGAGAACACTAACCAGTAGTATCAACTGAAGGCCTTGTTTCACTTAAGTTCATTACTCTCTGAAGAAGCCAACAGAGCTAACCTTCCTCCCAATAGTAAGAAATGACTGACCATTGCTTTCCCCAGGTGGAGCCAAGACTCCCAAGGAGGTAGAGAGGCAGGGCAAGGCTGAGGGATTGCAAAGGAAGGAGAGAGTGAGGTAGAGCTGAGAGACTGCTGTCTTGTTTTGGAATTAACTTTTTTCTTATAAATATAAAAACATATTATAAAAAATAATAATGTATCACAATTTTTTTAATTTAAAAGTTTATAAGACAATATAACATATGATAATATTTATGGCAATAAATATTCTTCCACAGCATGATTTATTTAACTACATTCCAATTGTTGGACACTTTCTACCTGTGTTCATGATACCACTTTTTCCCCTTTCCTCCAGCACCTCAGAGCATTGATTAAGAGTATTTATCTTCCTGAATTTTCATCCTTGTCTTCTTTTTCACTCTTTCTTGAGGCCTATAAAGATATTTCACTCTTTCTTGAGGCCTATAAAGATAATCTACCCTCTCTCATTTATTTAAAAAAAAAAAATTACTAACTATGAGTCTCTGTCTAGCTTGTCTTATTTCTCTTCTTACTGTTTGAGACAAGTTTTCCAAAAAATAAATAGCCACTCATCTTCTCAGTGTCTTCTCTCCCTTTGACTTTTTAACCCACTATACTCAACTCTTTTTGTTGGTTTTTTTTTTTAAATCATTATGAGTCAGGGAAATCTTTTTAGTGAAGGTAACATCTGAAGAGTTCCATAAAAATGAGTAGATGATGGCATAATAGATGAAAGAAACAACCTTTACAAAGATCCAGAGGTTGTATATACATTGACACATATGGGGAAATGTCCTAACAACAGAGGAACCCAGGGCACATGTGGGCAGCAGTGAGAGTAAAAGTTGGAAGGGGTTACACATCATGGTCTTATGTATTTTTATATTAAGAAATTTGATTTTTTAATTAGAAAATAGGAATTTTAAGTAAGATAGTGATATAAATGGTTTTATAAATGTAGTGTAAAGAATGGACTGGATGGAATTGATACTGCCAACAGGAAGCCCAGGGAGGAGGGTATTGCTATAATCTGGAAGAGATAGGATGGGAGCCAAACCAAGGAAGAGAAGAATAGGAGAGAAACATGGAGACCACCATGAACTTGTTCTTGGGGGCTCCACCTCATCCTACTGTAGCCATTTCTCCTTTATGTTGGGAACTGTAGGATATCAGAATCATTACAGTAACAATTCTGTTGCACAACCTCAGAGGTCATCTATACCAGTCTCAAAGAGCATACTCAGTCAAGCTTTTAATAAAACATAGTGGGCACTTATAAATATATAAAGAAATCACTACATTTACTCAGGCAGGAGATATCATAAGTCAATTATCTACTAATATTATCTGTAATTTGATTACAGTACTGCGGTGTAGTAAATTACCTGGTATGGCTTTTCTAGCCATAAGTCTTTGTAAACTCTGTAGTGGAGTTTGCTGTGAGCAACTGAGGAGCTCTGATTGTAAAAGTTATCCACCTGGGGTATTTCTGTTGGGCACAACACAAAGCAATGTTCTGGGGGGTTCCTGCTCTCTCTCAGGTACTTAGAATTCTGATGTTATGATTGGCCAGTTTGGCTACTCTGCCGGGCTCAAAAGGAGGCCTCCAAGAGGAAGAAGAGGTCCCTCTCTGACTGCTGGTTGAGGAAGACATGCTGCTGAAAAAGACACATGCTCCTGAAAGAGACACACACTGCTGGGAAAGAGACGTAAAAGACACGCATTGCTGAGTGAGACACTGAGGGACATGCACTGTTGGGAGAAAGACTGTGAGAGACTGTTAGGAGGGAGACTATGGGCTGGGAGAGAGACTGAGCGTTTTTCCTGAACTCGAATTGTAGCCTGGTGCTTCCCTAATAAACCCCCATAATCTGTGAGTTCTGTGTGGCCACTGCAGGGAATTATCGAACCCAGAAGAGAGGTGGTGGGTGCTTTGGGAGGCACGGTGGGTGAAAGGGCTGGAGGGAGGCAGCATGTCTGGCCTTGGGCTATTGATGGTGCTTCTGTCTTCCTCTTGTGGGGTTAGAGGAGGTTAGGAGATGTGGCCTCCTTGCCCTTTTGGCAAGTACCAAAACAAAACAAAAAAAAAAACTAAACTAAACTCACTGCCGTTGATCAGATCCAACTCACAGCAACTCCTCCTTGGGCTTCCAAGGTGATAACACTGAGGAAGTAGATTATCCAACCTTCCTTCGGAGGAGTGACTGGTGGGTTTGAACCACCAGCCTTCTGGTTAGCAGTCAAATGCCTTAGGCACTATGCCACCAGAGCTCCCAATTTGATTATGGTGATAGAGTTTTTAAAACTGTTCTCCCAAATAAATGTTTTGCCTTTTTTCCGACTAGTTTCATATTGAACTGTCATCTAGGATTACCAGGTTTAGAAAATAAAAATACAGAATGTTCAGTTAAATTTGAATTTAGGATAAACAACATGTAAATTTTCAATATAAATATATATGTCCCAATTTGAGGCACATACTTACAATTAAAAAAAAAAAAAGCCATTTATCTGAAATTCAAATTTAATTGAGTGGCTTATATTTATTATGACAACTGGACCAAAACATGCATTACCTGTAAGTAATAGTTCCCTTCAACAGTGTGTAGTCCATCAAATGCCCCTAAGGCATAAACTTCATCTGATCTCTTCTCAGACATCTTGTAGCTTAGATGACAACAGAGATCTCTGTGACAAACTGTGTAATTTCCTGTGACTCCCATGAGCTCCACGAAAGTGAATTCATCAAAAAAAACAATGCCTTTAAATTTCTGGCTTTCTGTTGAGTATGCTTCTATACTCCTGGCATATGAAGACCAATTCACAACAGAACGGGGTGGATGGGAATCCAGTTGGGAAAGTAGTAGTTTTCCCTCCTCTGTCTTCATATCATAATGAAATGCTCTTGGAGAATCCGGTGCATAGATTCCACTTCCTGAAAGTGATAAGTTGGATTTTTTTTTTTTTTTTAATAGGTACTTGAAAGGAGCTCTGGTAGCATAGTGCCTAAGGCACTTGCCTGCTAACCAGAAGACTGATGGTTCAAACCCACCAGCCACTCCTCGGAAGGAAGGTTGGGCAATCCTACTTCTGTAGTGATACTGCCTCAGAAACCCAAGGAGGGGTCGCTGTAAGTCAGGGCCGACTTGACGGCAAATAACAACAACAACAACAGGTACTTGAAAAGTGATTTCATAGTTGTTACTGTTATTTTAAACTCATATTAATATTTTACTGCCTCTAAATGGGGTTGTGAAGAGCCAGAAAAAATGATTCAACTGCATCTAATAATAACAAGATACATATTTCAGTAAAATATGCCGATAAGGATAGATATGTGAAAGGAAATCCTGTAGAGTAAGGTACATAGAAGCCAAAAAAGAGAGAGTTTCAAGTAATAAGTGGTCAAATTTAGAAAGGAAAAATAGTGCACATTTAAGTTGCATTTAAAAATAAATGCATAAAACTACAAAAAAATTTAACTTGCTATTGGCAAAGTGCCTAAGGCATTTGACTGCTAACCAGAATGCTGGTGGTTCAAAACCACCAGCCACTCCTCAGAAGGAAGGTTGGGAAATCTACTTCTGTAGTGATAGTGCCTTGGAAATCCAAGGAGGGGTCACTGTGAATCAGATCTGACTCAACAGCAGTGCATTTAGGAGCTCTGACAGTGTAGTGTCTAAAGCATTTCACTGCTAACCAGAAGGCTGGCAGTTCAAACCCACCAACCACTCCTCAGAAGGAAGATTGGGATATCTACTTCCCTAGTGATACCACTGAGGAAACCCAAAGAGGGGTTGCTATAAGTCAGGTCTGACTCAACAGCGCACAACAACAACAACATTGATTCTACCGTATGCCACCAGATAGATACTCATAATTAAGAGGTGGAAAACACATATTAAGGAGTAAATGCTAATTTGAGATTTTTTTTCTTTATTACACCAAACCTATAAATATTAGAACTCACACACTACCTGTCATTTCCTTCAGTGGGTGATGGAGATTGGCTGCAAGGAAATTGACCCCTAAGCCCATAGCCCAAGCTGAATGGAACTCAACAGCTGACAAATGTGGTAGAACATTCATCCAAGCTGTAGGGAAGAGTATGGTGTCTACATGGAAATCTTTCACCAGGGTCACAGCAGGATCATGGAAGAGTATATCAAAGCAGGTGAAAATGCCAAACTTTCCAAAAGTGGTGTTGAAAGTCACGACCTCAGGCCTCTTGGGTGAATTGAAATGTTCTTCACTTGTGAAAAGGTTTTGCTGTGATAAAAAAGAAAAGAAAGGGAGAAAAGGAAAAACAAAAAAACTGTTTTAGAAAGTTGGCTCTAATATCACGATGAGTAAATTAGTGCAAACTCACATCCATTAGTTGGCCAGTGAATTGGTGGCCAATTTCATCCTGGCCACCATCTTCAAATGGAAAGAGATACATTAGAGAATCAGAACTGACTCAAGCTAAAAAGGGTCTTAGGTTCAGCCTCCAGATTTGATAGATAATAAATATGTGGAAATCTTAATCTGTAAGATCTTCTTGAATCTAACAAGAATAGAATCTTATAAGAATAACTTCTATTGCCCAAGAACACTATTTCCTGTGGGCAGGGAATTTTCCTTGCCCCTTTCTTCTTGAGACCAACTCTATCTGGTAAAGAATATTTTCTTGCTTGACACATTGCCAGGACACAGTTTTAAAAAGACGAAGTCCAAAAGGTAAACTTACCTTTCAGTGGAGATAGCTTCTGTGGCTCTCACACTCCCAGCTGGTCTTAAATGCATGGAAAACTTCTGAGAGATCTTCATAGGATCTTCTTCCCTGACCTAATCAGTATTTTCTATGCTTTGTCTCTACTCTGTTTCTAAAGTAAGCCCATCAATGGATGAATGGACAAACTATAGTATATACACACAACGGAATATTATGCAACATTAAACAGTAACAAAGAATGTGAGAAATACCTCATGACATGGATGAACCTAGAGTACATTATGCAGAGTGAAATAGTCATCACAAAAGGACAAATATTTTATAAGTCCACTATTATAAAAAGTCAAAGAAAGGTTTAAACACAGAAGGAAACATTCTTTGATGGTTAGTTACTAGGGATGGAGGGAGGTTTATGATACAGTTATTATTTTCTTTTTCTTCTAGCCTTCTTTATTATGTAAAATAAATTATTTACAAATTGATTCTACCTTGTGGTAGCGTGCCGCCAATTTTCCTTCAGAATCAAACACCACATCAGTGTTGTATTGGTAACGACCATCAATGGGGCACTGAGGGTCACTGGCATTGCATGGCTTCTTATCCCCGATATTTGCCACAACATAGATAGAGTTGTTCTTGGCCAGGCAGCTGAGTCTTTCTTGCACTGGGTTGTGGCCAAATCTTGTATGCGTTCATTGGACAAGGAAAAAGTAAAAACAAACCTTAGTTCTTAATAAAATTTCTAATGATAGTTACCTAAACACATTATTATTTAATTAACAGTCACAGCATAAACAAAGAATGACTGCAGATAGTAGAGAAGCATTAAGACAAGAAGAGAGGTCAGCGGAAACCATGCTTGCCAGAATTTGGTTTTAAAAAAATATATTCAAGAGAGGTTCCAGTAAGAGGGCAGAATAAACAGACAAACTGCACAGATCCTCTTCAACAAAGAGAATGGCAACCAGTTAACACAGATACAGAAGATAATCCTGGAGCCCTATCCTGGAGCCCTGAGCTTTGAAAGGAAGGATACAGACATGAACTAAACTCCAACTAGTTGAAGAATTTGCATGAAAACACCAAAAAAGGAGACAATCAGAACTGTGGTGTGTCAGCAATTCTGATGACACAGACAGCTTAGATATTGCCAAGTGGTGTTAGGACCTAAGAATTAACCTAAAAATCAGCCCTGCTAGCCAGGGGCTAAGGAGCTCTGGTAGCATAGTGCCTAAGACATTTGACTGTTAATCAGAAGGCTGACGGTTCAAACCCACCAGCCACTACTTGGAAGGAAGATTGGACAATCTACTTCTGTAGTGATAGTGCCTCAGAAACCCAAGGAGGGGTCGCTATGAGTTGGATCCAACTCCATGGCACATATCATCAACAGCAACAGCCAGGTGCTGCACAGAGAACTGCACTGATGGCTATAAATAAAAGGGGAAGCAGTGAAGAGGGAGAAGGGCTGGGCTGTGGACTTTTGCCTGTCCAGAGGCAAAACGTTTACAAGCTGTTCAACCATTTTGGATGTTTAAACCCAGCATTCTCTCAGATTCCAGGGACAGGCTAGAACAGGCTCCACTTGCCGGGAACCACAAGGACATTCCATATGTGAATGACTAGAAAGGTGTGATATTCCCCTGGTTACTCTTATGTCCCACACCCTCCTGGTGAGTGGAGGTATAGCCATCCCTCACTCCCACCCACCTTTTGGGCTGGAAGGAATTCCATCCCAGTCTGTGTGCTCCAACGGAGCCTGGGTACCCTGCCCCTCCCTGCCCAGATATCTTTTCATATTTTTTTTTAGTTGTTTGTTTTTGTCTATTTTTAAATTATTACTGTTATTATTATTTTTTTGTTTGTTTGTCCTTTTTATTATTAGTCTTTATTCTTCCCTTCCCAGATTTTAGTTTTCAGCTTTTTCTCTCTTCCCTGTTCCTGGGTCCCACTTTTTGCTTTCTCATGATTAGCCCAATTCCTGTTTTATTTCTTTTTGCATTTTTCACATTTTTTTCCCCATTATTCTCCTACTCTACCTCTTTTCTCTTCTTGCCCCCTCCCCAGATATTGCAGGATTTTTTTCTTCCTTTCTTTTTCTTTTTCTTTTTTTTTTTTGGTGATTGTTCCTGTGTGTTTATGTGGTGTGTTTTTTGTCCTCTTGCTTTTACTTTTCTGATGGTTTTTTGATCATTGTTTTTGTCTAACTGAGTGAGAGACAGAAGCTATGCCCACATGATGCAACCATTCCTGCAGCTCCACTTACTGAGTGAGAGCTACCACTTCCTTCTGCAACAACTGGTCAACAATAAACAACCACCAAGAAGAGCCTGACTCGCCCTTACTGCTCTTCACAAAGTTAGCAGAGATCTAAATACAACAATGTCACAATGTCTCAGAGACAACAGACCATCACTGTCCACACAAAGAAGCAAGATAAAGTGGTAGAAAAAAGAGAGCAGGATACAGACCCAGAATACATCCCTGAAGAAGCAGCAGAATTGGGACTCCCTGATAAGGAATTCAAAAGAATTATATCTAGGTACCTTTAAAGGCCTTCAGGGAGATGGATTGATACAGTGGCTGCAATGATGGGCTCGAGTATAGCATGGATTGTGGGGCTGGTGCGGGATTGGGTGGTGTTTCGTTCTGCTGTGCATGGGGTTGCTATGAGTCGGAAACGACTCGACGGCACTTAACAACAACAACAACAACCTTTAAAGGATTGAGAGACAGATCAAGGAAAACACTGAGAAAATTAAGGAAAACACAGACAAAACCCTAGAAGAATTCTGGAAGAAAATACAAAAGCAAAATGACAAAATAAATGCTAAACTAGAAATGATTTTAAATCTAGAGATAGAAATCCAGAAGATTCATACTAAATTGTCAGAAGTAGATAACACATTGAGAGGGCAAAGGAGTAGAATCGAATCAATGAAAGGCAGAATTGATGAGATTGAAGACAAATACCTGAATACATCTTTGGAAAGGGATCAATCAGAAAAAAAGATCAAAACAAAATGAAGAAAGCCTAAGGTTCATGTGGGATAGCATCAAAAGGAATAACCTATGTCTAATCAGAATTCCAGAATGGAAAAGAAAAAGAAAACCACTGAGAAAATTGTCCAAGATTTGTTGGAAGAGAACTTCCCCAACATAATAAAAGATAAAAATATATCCATTGAGGAAGTACAATGAAAGCCAAATAGGACACACCCCAAAAGAAAATCACCAAGACATATCATCACCAAACTCACCAAAGCCAAAGACAAAGAAAGAATCCTCAAAGTAGCATGGGAAAAACGAAAAGTTACCTAAAAAGGAAAAATGATTAGAATAAGCTGTGATTTCTCAGCAGAAACCATTCAAGCAAGAAGGCAATGGGATTGTATATTTAAAACCCTGAAAGAGAAAATTTTCCAACCGAGAATTATATACCTGGCAAAATTGTCCCTCAAATATGATGGTGAAATTAGGAGATTTCCAGGTATGCAGAAATTAAGGGAATTTGTTAAAACCAGACAAACCTTACAAGATATACTAAAGGGAGTCCTTTGAACAGAGAACCAATAATAGCAAACAACAACCGACTATTAATACACAAGATGACATAACCTGGAAACCTAGACAGCCATGGAAGTATCCAAAGTAAAATAAGCTTATAAGATTGTAAACAGGGAACTAGAGACATCAATTAGCAAATGAGGACAACTAAAAACCAAAAAGAGGGTTTTTTTTGTTTGTTTTGTTTTTTTACTGTAAATACTGTGTAGTTAAAGAACTTCTAAACAGTGAGGAAGTCAAGAGAGTTGCAAGATAGAATGGACTGTTCTAAATTCAAGGAGAAAATTATAAATCACAGGGTAACCTCAAAGGAAAATGATAAATCTTCACATCACAATAAAAAAAGACAAAAAGCACAAATATTCAGCAAATACTAAAACAACAGCAACAAAGGAAATAATAACACAATTCATAAACAAAATGAGCTCAGCACAGAAAATTATATGGAACAAAGAAACCAGAAACATCATGAAAAAACACATAACAAAATGACAGCAACCAATTCATATTTATTGATTATTACACTGAATGTCAATGCACCACACAAGAAACAGAGAGTTGCAGACTAGATAAGAAAACATAACCCATCAATATGATGTCTACAAAAGACACACCTTAGAGAGAGGACAAAAATAGACTAAAAAT